CAACCATACCCATACAACCATACCCATACAGCAATACCCATACAACCATACCCGTACAACCATACCCATACAACAATATCCAGACAACCATACCCATACAACAATATCCATACAACCATACCCATACAACCATACCCATACAACCATATCCATACAACCATATCCATACAACCATACCCATACAACCATACCCATACAACCATACCCATACAACCATATCCATACAACCATACCCATACAACCATACCCATACAACCATACTCATACAACCATATTCATACAACCATACCCATACAACCATACCCATACAACCATATCCATACAACCATACCCATACAACCATATCCATACAACCATACCCATACAACCATACCCATACAACAATACCCATACAACCATACCCATACAACAATACCCATACAACCATATCCATACAATCATACTCATACAACAATACCCATACAACCATACCCATACAACCATACTCATACAACCATACCCATACAACCATACTCATACAACCATATCCATACAACCATATCCATACAACCATACCCATAAAACCATACTCATACAACAATACCCATACAACCATACTCATACAACAATATCCATACAACTATACCCATACAATCATACTCATACAACAATACCCATACAACCATACCCATACAACCATACTCATACAACCATACCCATACAACCATACTCATACAACCATATCCATACAACCATATCCATACAACCATACCCATAAAACCATACTCATACAACAATACCCATACAACCATACTCATACAACAATATCCATACAACTATACCCATACAATCATACTCATACAACAATACCCATACAACCATACCCATACAACCATACTCATACAACCATATCCATACAACCATATCCATACAACCATATCCGTACAACCATACCCATACAACCATATCCATACAACCATACCCATACAACCATACCCATACAACCATATCCATACAACCATACCCATACAACCATATCCATACAACCATATCCATACAATCATACTCATACAACCATACCCATACAACAATATCCATACAACCATACCCATACAACCATATCCATACAACCATACAACCATATCCATACAATCATACTCATACAACAATACCCATACAATCATACTCATACAACCATATGCATATGCATTTCTTGTATTTAAACATAGAAGAAATATGTAATTAAAGAATATGATTATAATAATATTCCTTGTATTGCCAAATGTTTTTAAATATAAAGACTAATATGGGAAAGAGTCTCTTGATCTACAAAACAAACAGACTTTAGCCCTAGGTTGTTGCTAGTTCGGTACAATATATAATGAGCATGCTGGTGAAAAATCAAAATACGCTATTATCTAAAATCACCCAGGAATTCTTTAAAAAAGTATATCATATAAATGGATCTGAAATGTAAATACTTCCTTTTCTGCACTGTAACCCATTTTAGAAAAAAAAAAACACTCTTTTTCATGAGAACCATTGTTACAAAGTAGCAAACACAGTCCAATCATCTGAGCCCTCCGGTCACTACCTTGGGACCCCATCAAAGACTCTTCAAATCTTTTATACTAACAGCATGACATGAGAAACAACAGTGGCATTTCATCTGGTTACAAAAAAATAGCAATCAGGATGCATGTGGACACCATGTGTGAATAGCAATTTGTAACCTGCAATATGTTGACAATACGGTTGATGCGAAAAACATGCCACATAGGTTGAATAAAGGAATGCTCATTTCATGTAAAACATCTGCTGTGAATGTCCCTGTTTGTCATACAAGAACACTGTGCAAAAAGTAGCCTTTAATGTGACAGCGCAGTGACTTTTTTTAATGCTTGCTGCCTCCCAAACATGCACGTGAAAAATACATTTTAGGCTTGGAAAAAGGCAAATGTAGTGAGGAACAAAAATACACAATTCTTATCAATAGACATAGACTAAATGTATTTATAAAAAAGTGCATTTGGGTTTACAATATTGGGGAGATCCATGCAAAAACACAATAATTATGAGACTGTATCAAGAGGTCACTCTCTGGCAGGAAATTACTTGTAAGAGGTATCTAGCAGGAATATACTAACAAGAGGTAACTAACTGGACCTCACTAGCAAGACAGAGGTAACTAGTTGGCAGTAACCTCTGTCTTGTTAGTGAGGTCCTTTCTGTGTGAATCTGGGTCACTGTGTTTATTCAGGGATATCAGCACTAATTGTACCAAATAGATGACCAAAATTCAGGTTTTGATTCTAGCAGATTGAGAGAATGTTTTCAGGTCAGCTGATTTAGCATGAATTTCACTTTTCAGATTTTAATTTAGAGAATAACTCTAAGTATGTGCTTCTAACACTGGAACGCAAAAAAATACAAACTGCTTGAAAAAAAAAAGCAACAAACTGGAAACCATCAGATCCTTTGACAAGTCAAATCATTCATCGAGTGTTGAGATAAATGTATACATACAACATGTTTTCACATCAGTAGTTCTCCAAACCATTTATAAGATGTTAAGATGTTAGGGGAAGCCTAGTGGCAGGATGAAACACTGCGAGCGTTGTACACACAATCCAGCAAGGCTTATACAGTGCATTCCTAGACATGGTATGTTAGAGATAAGTGGCAGGTCTTTCATTCTTTTCCTCTGTTTAGACGTTAATGTGCTGAGTGAAAATGTCAGGTTTTCAATTAAACAAAACATTGCTCTGGCAGCCTCGGGCTGGCGAATTTAAACAAGTATTAATTATTTGTCTTATTTCACTGACATTCTGCGAACGTTAATAAACTAAGACACATTTCTGGTGACATATATCGGTTTAGCATAATCCGCTGCAGGCTTTTTATTTAGTACTTACGCCAGATCACAGCTGGTTTGCCGGATCCGCCATATTTTCCTGGGCTCATGCAATATATTTATTTAGATATAAATAACAAGAAAATTGCTGTGCTGCCGGATGTGCAATTCAAATGCAGAAAGAGGGAACTCAAGTCATAAATCAGTGAAGTATCCTGCATTATAGGAATTCTACATACTGCAGGGCAGCACCTTTCCTGTGCTGCTCATCAACCTGAAGTTCTGTAGGTCCAGGACCAAAGACAGGCTCAGTTATTTAATTTAAAGGGATACTAGAGACATCAAAAAACTTTAGCTTAATGAAGCAGTTGTGGTGTATAGATCATGCCCCTGCAGTCTCACTGCTCAATTCTTTGCCATTTAGGAGTTAAATCACTTTTGCTTCTGTTTATGTAGTCCTAGCCACACCTCCTCTGGCTGTGACCTCATATCCTGCATGAAAAAAATAGTTTCATTCTCAAGTAGATGATAACTTGCTTTAGACATTTTTATCTCCAGGTGTGTAAATTAAACTTTAATCACACACAGGAGGTTCATGAAGAGTCTAGAAGGCTGGTAACAGAGCAAGACATAAGAAATTCTAAATTAAACATAATGTACAATAAAGGGGGTTTAAACATTAGCTCTGTCTTTATAGAAAGTGTTTCACAAACTTACATTCACATAGGTGTAACTAGTAAGTGATTTAACATTTAAATAGCAGATAATTGAGCAGTGAGACTGCAGGGGCATGATCGGTATCCAAAATTGCTTTATTAAGCTAAAGTTGTTTAGGTACCTTTGAAAAAAAATATTTGCAAATCCTATTGCTGACATAACACCACCCCCTTCTCAAATACCTTAAAGTCATATATCATTGTGTCCTTAAAATAGTTTCTTCTTCATACTAATATGCCTGTTTGGGATTTTATTTACAACACTATGGATTGTTGGTTATTTGACATGACATGGCAATTTGTAGGCCAAAAATTAGAGGATTGAAGATTTTCTTTTCAACTGCATAAACCACAACATGTAGTAACTAACAGACACACCATGAAATTATCCATTTCAGTCCCACTGTGAGATTCACTGCTGTCCCTTGTGGCACTAAAATGGAAAGTCTGTGATACCTCAATGTTTGAGTAGGGACAGCTGATCATCTCTCTATTTTTAAAATATGTAATATAAAAATGTGGAGTAATTTGGACCCCACTAAAACTGAGTAGTGGTATCTACCCCTTCCTCTGGCACAATGTTTAAAAAGGCTGGAATTTCCCCAGGCTGCTGGTTCTGGAAAAGGTTAAATGAATATATTAGTGTTTGGAATAAAAAGATGTATTCCTAACACTAACATATTCCTCGGCCCCTACAGCCCCACTACCTTTTATTCACTTACTCGATTCCAGTACATCGGCACTGGGTCGTGGTCTGCCTCCTGTCTAGGTGGCTAGGCACACTGCACCCAGACCACTTCAATGCAATGAAGTGGTCTGGGTGCCTATAGTGTCCCTTTAACTCGATAGACTGAACTTCTAAACATAGGACTAGACCAGGAGATAGTCTCCTGACCATATTATCTTACCCTGAATGGGCTTCCAAGCAATCCAACCAAAATACTTTCTCTGAAAAAGCTGCAAGGGGCCTATTTAAAGACCTTTCGTACCTTGAATGCTCTGCACAGAGCACTGCAGTCAGTAGGGTTGGAAGGTGGAAAATGATTGTCTTTTAGGCATATTTTTTTTTCTCAGTTCTTTTTTTATTTTAATTCAGTTGTGCTGGAATATTGTTTTCCCCATCCATTTTGATGACCTAAGTGAAAATGTTGAAGACAGAGAACTTCAATCAAGATGCCAACTACCATAAAATATTTATTCAAATATGAAAGGACGAATTCAAATTACAACGAATGAAATGATGAACGATATGGGTGGCGGATTGTACGGGGGTCAAACATAGGCTTGCCTTGGGGGTCTAGGAAAGAGTCTTCCTATGGTCTGTCCGCCTGCATGCGGGACTTCCTTTGCCCATGATGGGTGTCTTGGACTTCGACCAGGTCAGACCCTGGGTCGCCCCGGGGCATGTCCAACCAGTCGTCTTCCTCAGAAGGAGAGTCCTCTGCCCTCCACTAGTCCATAACCTCCAGTGAGGGTGGAGGATTATGTTCCTCATCATCGGAGGGGATGAAGGGCCCTGGCGTTCTGTCTGGCGGCTCCTCTTCAGTGGGGCCTTGCCCTTCGCTTTCCGGGGGGGCTGGGCCACTGCCCTTCCAGTGATGCTTAGAAGTGGCAATTTCCCCTGTAGACCTATGTGGGTCTTTAGTATTAGGGTCCCCACTCGGGTTCTGGACCAATAACTTGGCTATAGCCTTCTCCATGGAGGCTGCCACTGCTGAGTTAATCATCGACTGGAAGTCGGGTGGGGTTGGTTGTGAAGACTCGCTCATTTTTTATGGCCGTAGGTCTCTCTGTCTGTGGAAGACTGGATAGGTTCAGGTACCGAAGTACGTGAATAGTAATAACAGTAATAGTAACACTGTGGCTTTCCACTTAGGACTGGGGTTCACCCAGTGTATTCAATGGACCCAATCAGTTGATTGATAGGTCCTGTTATGTATAGCACCGATGTCTGTAATGGGCTATTGAGGGGGTCACCCTCCGTGAAACCGGGATGAGCGGTCATAAATAGGAATTGAGTCCGTCTAGGCTGTGTCACCTTATAGTGATATGGGGTGCACCCAATTATCATAGCCCAGTGGAGCCCTATTGCAGTAGGTTCCGCCTCCGTTGAGTGGGAGGAATTTACGGGCACCCCAGTTGTAGTGTGGAGGGTGCCGGTAATTTGTACATGCAATATATTTAGGGGGGTCACCCCGAATCATTTACAGCCCTGGTGCGAGTATAGCACATGACTGGGGGTCACCCAGCGTAGGGGGGTCAGCCCTTTAATAGCAATAACCAGTGTGCTTGAGGGGGGTCACCCCACTCAGAGGGGTCACCTCTGGAAGAGTACACTCTGTAGAGATGGTACTGTTTAATAGTCAGGGAGTGTAATCTTTAATGCTTATAATGAATAATGTGAATATCACTCAGTGCTGCCTCTACTTGCAGTCTTTTGTATCACAGGTTGCAGTGGCTATAGGCTTAGCAGGCATCCATTCCTGTAGGAGGTTGAATATTGGATATTTTCCATTAACTGGCAGGCTGAGGGTAGTGGTAATGGGGGACGGGAAGAGACCGTTTGAGTCACGGTCTGCCAGGAGGTAAGATGGGCGACGTTCACGCCAAAATTTTGACACGGTCCGAGATCGTGGTTTTAGCCGCGATCGCGGGCCGCCGGGATGAACAAACCCGGTGTACCCATCCCCCCCGGACGGAAAACATGCCCCTGATGATGCTCACGATCGCGGTAAATAGCCGCGATCGCGGAGGGAAAGGGGCTGACAGAAATGTCTTTAATAGTAGAAAACCAGTGGAGGGGTGTGAGCATACAGAAAGAGCAGGGTAGAAAACAATGATAGTACCAGATAAAATAGAAAAGAACCTTGATATGTAATACTGAATACTTGTAATAAGCTAATTGTAGTTAATAAAAAGGATTAGAAAAAATTACTCTGACCTGTGCCTTGGCTGGAGCAGCAAAGAAAGAGGAAATGGAACGCCTGTCAGAGACTTATATACAGGATGTGCTGGACTCTGATTGGTTAAAAAATTTTCTTTTGATTGATTGACTTGTGCTGCTGGAGGCATAAAGTAAAGAACGTTTAATGCAAAATACTCGCCTCCTGTCATTATTAAAATTAAGATTATCTGTACACTACGTTAGCATAATCTACAATTACAACGAATGAAATGATGAACGATATGCATGTTAGACAAAATATTGTCCATGTAATTTGTCCTTTTGTTTGTTTGTTACAATTACAAGGAGGTAGCTCCATCCTTCATATTTAAAAATAGAAGCAGTGGGGTGCTTCCTTAATCCCCCTTGCCCTCCTCACTTTTGGACTATGGGGATCAATATGAACTTCATAGTAGTATATGAGTGGCACATGTCCCAAGGCCCCATTGTTAGTCACCTATTTAAATAATTAACTGGGGGGGGGAGGGGACATTCCCCTATCCATTAAACTAAAAGAGAGATCTATAAATTGAATAAGGTACCTATTGGCGGAGGGTAGACCTACTGCACCCTCCAGCCCCATCCACTGGCTGTGGATGGGGACCCTAAATGACAACTAGGGGAGTGGACCTATTGTCCACCAGAGCCTTACCCATTGGTTGTGAGCCTTAAATAACGAGGGAGGTGGACCTATTGCACCCCCCCCCTCATAAAATGATCCCAGACTCTAAGTGACTAAAGGTCCCCAATCCCCTAGTCACCCCTTAATAAATACCTTAACACCTTGATAATAGTGAAGGAGGGGAAGGGGGGATAACAAATTAAACCTGTAAAATAAAAAAATGCATACTTACCATGACATGGATTCTTCTTCTTCCATCTTCTTTTCCTCAGCTCCAAAAATGTCCATACAGTCGCACTGCAAGCAGCTATTTAAAATAAAAAAATGTATTGATAGATTGATATCCTAAAAACTTTTCTGTAGTTCTCACCGTGATGCCATGTCTGACTTTAATTAAAACAAAAAATAAAAAATGTGTACAAGCGTTTATTGGTGTATATTTTTATGTTTGTATGTATTTTCATATGGGAAAAAAATGTTGAATAAAGCAATAAATTATAAAAAAATAAATAAAAAAGGACCCTAATGCAAAAAAAAAAACAATGCTACAACACAGACTGGGTTTGAAAGGGGGAGTAAGCCTTTTAAAGACTTTCCCACGCTGTACAACTGGGCAAAATAAACCACTTAGAGCACTCTAACAAGTAAATCTTGAGACTTACTTGTCAGTCTCAAGATTTACCTGCCAGGGCACTCTGATTGGTTGGCACAGCCAACCAATCAAAGCACTCTGACATACATTTTGCAATTGGGTCCTTTTTAAAAAGATTTTTATAGTGGTGACGTAACCTTGGGGATTTTAATTTGGCCTTTTTTGAGGCTGAAAAAAAGCAGATGGACGAAAAAATAAGATATCTAATTGTAAGTATGATTTCTTTTATTTTACAGGTAAGTTGTTTATTGCCCCATCACTATTATAGGTGTGAGAGGGGTTTGTAGAATATTTTATGGGGTGCTGAACTTGGTGGCCACAAGGTCAATGTTTATGGGTGCAGGGATAGAAAATAAGTCCAATAACCCCCCCCACACACTTTATTACTTAGGACCCCCATTATCCACCAATGAGTGGGGGCTGTGAAGATACAATAGGTCCACCCACATATTTTCCTATCCTACCCACCTACCCACCACAAATGGGTGGAACTGGGGGGGCACAATAGGTGCACCATCCCTATTATTTAGGGCCCTCACCCACTACCAATGAGTTATGGTAGGGGGAGCAGTGTCCCTCTGTTTTTTGTTTTTTTTAGAGCTCTCGCCTGCCAGCAAAGGGTAATGGCTGGGGGGACACTATGTACTCCTGTTCATTTCATTTAATACCCCAAACTTGTCTGGCCTGGTGGGAGACTCTAGGTCCCTCATTTATTTTAAAAGCAGCCACTCTTTTATTAGATTAGTGGATGGTTAGCAATATCAGTCGCTAGTCTTTTTCAATAACAGCGAGCAGCTGCCAGCAGTTTAGTAAACATGCCCCTACTCACAGCATGGTAGGGGCAGGAGAGAGGTTTTAACCTTCCTTATTTGCCAATACTAAGTATTTCTACTTAATATTAGTAAAGTAGGCTGAAAGACCAAAATTACAAAAAGGAGTTAGCTTTTCAATATTTTGGTCTTTAAGCTTCTTAGTAGAGAGCTCCCTAATCTTTGTGGGATTGCCATAAAGATATCAAAAAGGAGTTATCTACTAAACACCTCTTTAATGTTGTACCCTTAAATATGGCAATCCCACAAGGGAATCAATTTAGGGAGTTATATACTAAATGGCTGTAAGATGCAGTCACAGCATTGGTCGGAAATTAATTTGTTCAAATGAAATTCTGAATCAAAAATAATGGCCGAATTTCATCTGAAAACGAATAAACAAATAGACGATATTCAGTTTGGACGATCAAAAAAAAAATCTTATGAAAATTTGAGCAGCATCCAAGTATATTTCTTTATTAATCTTAGTTTCCCTTTCTGTGCCATAGTAAATGAAATATTGTTTTTGGTGCATTGCCCATAATCCAATGACACCTAATGATTAATCTTGCTAAGCATAGCATTGGTGTCATGGCAAAGTAACAATATTAATAAATTGCATTTTTGGTACAACTTAGCAGTGGTGCCAATTTTTAGGCAAAATTGGGCTCGAGTAAATTGACTTGATATTGTTTGAATATTTTATTTTTTTTGTCTTTCCACAGACTTCTTTTTTTTTATATATATTATTAAACGGTAAAGAATTAATTTAGCTGCCCACATATTGCTTTGTTACCATTGTTTTATATTGAAGCTGAAAAAAACACTCAGCAGTGTAATACAACTATCCCTATATTTATATTAAAACATTTAATTCAATATTTAAAAAGTAACTATAAACAATGATATTTCATAATAAATCGTGAGAGTAAAGTGTGCATTCACCAGTTTTCTTCTGACAGGGATATGGTAATTACATCAAATGCCATTCTTACAACTTTCCTACATTGTATTATCACTACATTAAACTACGCACAACCTACAAGATTTGAATTGATGTTATGAAGATAATCAGCAACACCAGTAGGGTCAGTAGCTCTCCTAACACACTCAGTCTGCTTACTGATCATCATCTCAAAGGAAATAAGGATTAATAGAGGAGTGGGGGAGATATAAGAAAAAAAAGATTTAAACTGCATTAGTTCTTTGCTGTAATCATAATGTTGGATGTGTTCAATAACATCGCCCATCTTTTAAAAATTTTTTGTCTAGTGTCTTCTTTTTCTCCATGGATAAATAATTCCCTTTCTGCCCCCCACATTAAACTGTGGTTTAAGAGGGTGTTTTGTAAGTCCCGTCCCTTGTCCCCCTCTGCTTGCTAATGCACAGCTGCCAAAAATGGTCTGATACATCAGCTACAATAATACATTCTATAGACAAAATTGATCCATTACGAACATACCTTGTTTAGACATAGACAGCTTTTCAGAGTAATGCTTGGAACCCAGTTCTCAGCCACTTAGGTTTTCAGCACTTGAACCTCACCAAAAGGACCATCACTTGACTGACATCTCCACCTTTAGTATCTGTACCAATCTCTCTACCTCTCTAGCTTTCTAGTACCAATCCCATTGTAATGAGACAGTGTACTGCCATAAAGAAAAGTGTTGGAAGATGCTTTGTCTTGTTGAAGGACTCCG